TACATGCAAATCATGGAACTGGAGAGATGATACCATCGCGTACACTTCCCTTGCCGAAGTCACCAAAGCGGCAGCAAAAACGGACGACGTGAGAGTTGGACAATGCTTTAACACTTTTACCGCCAAACAGTGAACGTTCTTTATCTGACAAAATGTTGAGGTGGGAGGAGTCTCTTTGGGAAGGTCGGACTTGTGTTGGCCCTTGAGACTTCATTCGTGTATGCCACCATCAGTTTAGGGTTGAAGGTGAAGAGACGACAACGTTGGCACACGCTCCTGCAAATCAAAGGTCCTTATATATGGCTTCGATTACCTCATTACGACAGAGGCGATTCACGTAATTGTGATACTAAATCTTTGATAGTATACACCACGAGGAATCATTGCTTTCCTTCATGAGGTAAGTGTAGTACACCTTCTTTCAAACCTTTATAACGACTTGACTAGAAATTGACTTAATATTTCGAACAATCTTTCAACACTATGGGATGACGAGAAGCTGCACAGTAGTACGGATTTAACCTAACGTGTCATTATTCCGGTGTAATTTATACTATTTTATTGTTTTTGCTGCTGTTATCATCATCGTTATTATTATTATTATTGTTGTTATTATTGTTAACATTATTATTACAAGTATTATTATTATTGTTATGATAATAATTATCATTATTTTTATTATATGAATAGATTATTCTCGAAAAGAGAACAGGGGAGTAGCCATTATTTTATCAGATGATGATTTTATATATATGAATGGAAAATAAAGGAATTATTTAGCATATTTACATTCTAGCCTGACAGTATGCTATTCGCAACCATTAAACTGCTTAGCAATTATTAATGCAATATCACCTGACCTAATATTTGGAAAAACTGGGAAAGACCAGATTCACTCTAAAGCATTTTCTTCTGCAACTGCCAACAACCGTAAGGAAATATTGCCAGTTACTCATATAAATAAATTCTGACACGGTGACATACAGTAGGCCTATACGCTTCATGATTTAAGCTAACGTCAGTCATGCGGTCTTACTTTATACAATGGAATATCGTGTTTCTGTGACACGGAAATATGCATTTTCAAAGCGGATGGCGGATTGATGAAAAATGTTATCTAATTTTCACATTTATTAACGTAAGAGAGAAGACTGTTAACATAAAACAATAGAAAATATGTATAAGATTATGAAACCTAAATCGAAGAAAAGGATGCAGGCAAGTAACAGAATCTCTCCTTGTTTCGTTTTTCTTCCTTTTTTTTCTCAATCCTTGAAAAAACTTTCTTCCTCCCGACACACCCAATCAGCTTCTTCTTTTGTCCCACATCCTTCGCCCAGGATGACAAACGCTTTCTTGCTTTTGTCCTGTTCTGTTTCTTTCTTGGATCCTACCTTGAGTCTCCGCCTTCTTCAGGGTGACAGTCAAATCATGCCAAGCCACGAAGACTCTTCTTGGAGTGTTTTCATCGTCTTATGGTTGATATGAACACCATATATGAACACTGTTTTCTTACTGACTACCACTATTTATGTCTTACTCTCTTCTGCGCCTTCGACTGCAATTATTATTTCTAATTCTAGTACTGATAGCAATACTGCTGCTGCTCGAACTACAACTAATAGTACTTCTACTAATTCTAGTACTTAAAGCAATACTGCTGCTGCTAGGACTACAACTAATAGTACTTACACTAATTCTAGTACTTAAAGCAATGCTGCTGCTACTAGGACTACAACTAATAGTACTTACACTAATTCTAGTACTTAAAGCAATGCTGCTGCTGCTAGGACTACAACTGATAGTACTTCTACTAATTCTAGTACTTATAACAATACTGCTGCTAAGACTACAACTAATAGTACTTCTACTGTGATTTCTAGTACTATTAACTGGAACTACTGCTGTTGCTGCTGTTACAATTACTTGTACATTGTCTCGTGTTACTACTGTTGCTACTTTTTAAATCAAATATACTTCTACTTTATCAACCTTTTCGTATGGTAGCATTATCATTATTGTTTATTATCATTGTTGTTATTATCATTATTTTTATTGTTATTGTTGTTAATATTGTTGTTTTGTTATTATTATTATCATCATCATCATCATCATCATCATCATCATCATCATCATCATCATCATCATCGTCATCATCATCATCATCATCGTCATCGTCATCTTCTTGTTGTTATCATTTTTCTTCTTCTTCTTATTATTATTATTATTATTAATGTTGTTGTTTTAATAATATTATTATTGTTACTATTGTTTTTATTAACGTCATTATTGTTATTATCGTGATTATCATGATAATAATAATTATTATTATTTTTGTAGTAATTGTTATTATTATTATTATTGTTTTTGTTATTGTTATTATTGTTGCTGTTATTACTTTGGTTCTTATCATTGTTATTATGATTTTATTACTACTCCTACTTCTACTACTACTACTACTACTACTACTACTACTGCTGCTGCTGCTGCTACTCACTAT